GGTGCAGGGGCCCAAGCACTTGGGCCATCTTCTGCTGCTTTCCCAGACCATCGCACAGAGCTGGATCAGAAATGGAGCAGCGGAGACTCAAACCGGCGCTCATACGGGATGCTGGCACTGCAGGTGACGGATTTACCTGCTACACCACAGTGCCCACCCCAGCTCTGGATTCTTACAATGAAGAATGTTCATTTAGAAACACGCTCCTGCTGACCTGTATTCTCAGTGGGAGAAACTGCAGTTCCTCCTTAGTCCAACTTAGGAGCCACATACTTCAGAGCCACAGAGCAGGAACAAGCCTGGAAGTAGGCCAGTGAGAGGAGACGCAGGGGCAGAGCGGTGAGGATGAGAGCCCCGTGCAGGGTTGGCTCACGAGGACCTTCTAGACCACAGAGGGGACATCACATTTGATTCAGTTGTGAAAGTCTTGGAGGTTTGGGGCAGAGAGGTTGATGCGGTCCGATTCCCATTCTAAAGGATCCCATTAGCTGCCGTGTTGAACACAGACTGTAATAGGGCAGATGTGAAAATAGGGCCAGCTTTGTCCAGGAATGAGTGTATGAATATGCTGGCAACAGTGTTTCCTCACAAGCGTTAAATTGCATTTGTAGCTCTACTTATTGGGCTTTAGAAATTATTTTCTTTTTCAAGCTAGTATTTTACTCAAATACAGCTGAAGTTGCCACAGCAGGGGCCAGCATTGTTGTGGTGTAGCAGGGAAAGCCTGTGCCTGTAACACCTGCATCCTATATGGGTGCCAGTTCGAGTCCTGACTGCTCCACTTCCAATCCAGTTCCCTTCTAATGCACCTGGGAAAGCAGCAGAAGATGGCCCAAGTGCTTGTGCCCCTGCAGCTACATGGGAGACCCAGATGGAGTTCCTGGCTCCCGGCTTTGGCCTGGCCCAGCCCTGGCCATGACTGTCACTTGGGGAGTAAGCCAGCAGATGGAGGATCACTCTCTGTGTCTTCCTCATACCCACCCAGCTCTTAACTCTGCCTTGCAAATAAATAAAATAAGTCTTTAAAAAATAGATTGCTATAGCAGCAGTAGAAATTTTTTCCTAAGTAGAATGTATCATTTTTGGTAGTTTGGTTGATAACCAAATGATAATAATACCTTAGCTTATAGAGTGTTTGGCAGCTTTTTTAAAAAAAAGACATTTATTTATTTTAAAGGCAAAGTTAGAGAGAGAGAGAGAGAGAGATCTGGCATCCGCTGGTTCACTCCTCACATGGCTGCAAGAGCAAGAGCTGGGCTGATCCAAAGCCAGGAACTTCTTCAGGGTCTCCCATACAGATACCAGGACCCAAGCACTTGGGCCATCCTCCACTGCTTTCCCAGGCCATCAGCAGGGAGCTATATCAGAAGTAGAGCAGCCAGGACTCGAGACAGCGCCTGTGTGTCCTGCTGGAGCTACAGGTGGTGGCTTCGCCTGCTGCACTGCAGTGCCAGCCCTGTTTGACAGTTTTAAAAAGCAATTTTACATTCATTGTCTCACCTAATCCTCATAGTCCTAGGAGATTGACAAAGCAGTGATTATTATCTCCCTACAGTGGTGGAAACCAAAACATCATGCTCCAAGTCCAAAGTCTCAAGCCAAGGTGATGGCATGGCCCAAAAGACAGAAATCCATGTCTTCTGTTCATCCAACCTTTCTTTAAATAGGTCTATTATGTATTACTGTGTCTAAAAATATTGCTGGGGAGGGGGCGTTTATGTTAGCAAATTTAATATATTGTTTAAGAAGCCATAAGCAAAATGCCATGCTTGGAGGGGATCCACCCAAAGCACTGGAAGAAGGAGTCATATCACAGGACGGAGCCCTTGCCTTCTAGAGTCTGTTCTAGTGGTTTGCTGTTTCACTCGCCCTCTCCGTTGACCATTTAAGTCAGGGGCATGTCTGATTGGAACTCAGGATTTTGCTGCTTCTAGGAGCTCAAAATACATGTTCACCGTCTCCGTCTGATATGGCAGCTTCAGAGTGGTTTAGGGCATCGATAAATAATGGGACAGATTGTGCACAAGAAAAAGGTTCCAAGTTGAGGGCCTGCCATGAGGATTAGATCTGGAAATGAGAATGGGCTGTGTGGGCCCTCATGTTTGTTGTATCGAGTGTCCACTCTGGCTGCGTGCCACGCGTTGGGCCAACCCCTGGGGCAAACTTGAAAGCACAGCTTTACTCTTAAGGAGTTCACATTCCGTGGAGGAGAAAAAATGATGTCAAGAAAGTGGTGGACCTGAGGTTTAATGCGTTGATGTGAGAATTCTGTTGAAATTGGGGAAGACTGCAGGTCCAGAGACCAGCTGGTGGAAGGTCTTCCACCTGCCTGGGCATCCCTGCTCGTGTTCCAGGAAAGAGTGCCCCACCACAGCTATAGTGTGTGCAGTCAGGAGGCACGTGCAGACGCGCTCCATGACTCAGCCCCCATCGCTGGGCAGCAGCATCAGCGTAAAGCAATACCGTGTGCCCGTGGTTTCCATTCTGTCATCCAAGTCCACAAATATTTAGTAAGCACTTACCATAGGAAGGTACTTCAAAAAGTGTGTGGAAAGTAGAATTAAAAGATAAGTTTATGGGGCTGGCACCATGATGTAGTAGGTTAAAGCCTTTGTCTGTGGCACCAACATCCCATATGGGCGTCAGTTCGAGTCCCAGCTCCTCTACTTCTAATTCAGCTCCCTGCTGATGGCCTGGAAAAGCACTAGAAGATGGCCCAAGTGCTTGTGCCCCTGTTCACAAGTGGGAGACTTGGAAGAAGCTCCTGGCTCCTGACTTCAGATTGGCCCAGCTCCTGCCATTGTGGCTATTTGGGGAGTGAACCAGCAGATGGAGGATTCTCTCTCTGTCTCTGTCTCTCCCTGGCTGTAACTCTGTCAAATAAATAAATCTTTTAAAGAAGAAAAAAAAAAGATAAGTTTATGTCAGTGCAGAACTTTTTTGAAATCCTTGCGGTTTTTGGGTATTACACATTTTTCATTACCTTTGTGAAGACCCCTTGTATTTGCATAGATTTCAATTTGCTGCACCAAAATAAACTCCTCTTTTAATTAATTCCATTTTCTGTGAACTTTAAAAAAAAAACTAAGCTTTATTTATTTATTTATTTTAAAGGTAAAGTTAACAAAGAGAGAGGGAAAGACACAGAGAGCTCCCATTCCCTGGTTCACTCCCCAAATGGCCACAGTGGCCGGGGCTGGGCTGGGCCGAAGCCAGGAGCCAGGAGCTTCTTCCTGGTCTCCCACGTGGGTGCAGAGGCCCAAGGACTTGGGCCATCCTCCATTGCTTTCTCAGGCCATTAACAGGGAGCTGGATCAGAAGTGGAACAGCCCAGACACAAACCAGTGCCCATACGGGATGCCAGCGCTGCAGGTGGCAGCCCAACCCACTATGCCACAAGGCCAACCCTTTCCATGAAACTATTAGAAAAGTCATTTATTTGAAAGGTAGAGAGAGTGAAAGAGAGACAAAGTGACAGAGAAGGAGAGAGAGGTAATCTCCCATCTACTCATTCATTCCTTATAAATGCCCACAATAGCCTGGCCTAGCCAGGTCAAAGCCGGAACTCAGTCCAGGTCTCTTATGTGGGTGGCAGGAACCAAGTACTTGAGCCATCTCCTGCTGCCTCCCAGGGTTCACATTAATTAAAGCTGGAATCAGGAGCGGAGCTGGGACTCAAACCCAGGCACTCTGGTGTGGGATGTAGGCATTTCGAGTTGGTGTCTTAACCACTGTGCCACACACCCTCACTTCCCCAGACTGAAGTACCATCATGAGCCTGGTGCTTTTCCAGGGGCTGAGAGTGCAGCAGTGACTGATAGAGAAAGTCCCTGGCATCATGGAGTTCACACATTCAGGCAGCACTCAGTGAGCTGGTATGTGAGGCAGTGCCTGCCATACTGCCCGTCAGATAGCTAAGTAGGGTTCAACCATTGCTGCTAAGTTTGAACTTGAAATTTGAATTAAGAACCTACTGTTGGCTAGATAATTTGTTGGGGAATACCCTTTCGTAGGGTGGAGGGCTGAGGGAGAGTAACTCATTTACAGAGTGATCTTCAAACGTACATCAGAAGTTTCGAGTCTGTCAGTTGCAGGGTGGTTGAGGTTATGTGTGCTGTGTTAAATGTAACCACTGTCTGTTCTAGACCACACTTGCCATTAAAGGGGAAGCCTTGCAGCAGGTGCGGCTGAAAGCCGTGTGCTCTCCTCCTGCCTGTGTGGTTTCTGTGGGCTCCCTGAATTCCTGGAGAGCTCATTGTTGACATTGTGGACACTTCACAGGATTCCTTTGTGTCGTTATTTAGCAACTGCCTGCTTTGACGAAATCCACGGCAATTCCTTTGTTAACTGCAACAGCAGTCAGAAACGATGTCTAGGAAAAGATGGATGAAACAGTGACTGACAGGTGCACGCAAGCACACACGTGCACACATCCTTAGATCACTTTGCGCATGCTGTCTGCAGGAGGGTTTGTCACATAAACCACGAGAAACCACAATGCTGCTTTCATTTTCTCGTTGTTTCCTTCAGAGGGAACCTGTCTCAAACATCACTGGAGTGATTGTTTTTTCTTGTTTGCCTTCCCTTTGGGTAGCTTGATGGTTGCACATACAGAACAAAACTAATCTGAATTTTAATGCAAATTCTTTGCAAGAAAATCATATCTTGTTACCTGCTTGGGAGTAGGGTTGGGGGTATATCTGCTGTTGTTGGAAGCCAAGGTCTGATTTGACTTTCACTTGAAAAAACCGCTGGCATCTATGAAAAACAAGAACGGTTGGAAGTGGGAGAGGGAGGCCCTAACATTTGCTCCTAGGTAAAACGCTTCACAAAAAATTGTGATTAGGTTTTCAGGTTGAACAGATGATGTCATTTCTGCAGTACAGGGTGTGTGTGTGTGTGTGAGAGAGAGAGAGAGAGAGCATGTTTGCGCACGTACTTTTTAAGAAGCACTGTCCATGCAGTAATCAGTGACGTGGAATTCTCTGGTCCCGCTGTAGATGTGAAGCCCTCGAACATGCTAGTAAACACGAGAGGACAGGTCAAGCTGTGTGACTTCGGAGTCAGCACCCAGGTAGGTCCCTCTTTCCCCTGCACTGCCCACTTGGATTGAAAACACCCCCCCCCCCCCAGCTGCCAGACAGACAGCAACTCGCATCTTGTCCTCGGCTGGGAGCGTGTTATTCATTTTTAATCTCTGAGCGCGTTGCCTTCATCAGAATATGATTGTTCATTGTTTAATGACAGTAAAAACTGCTGATATTGTAATTACTACTTACGAATAGCAAACTTCATTGATATGCAGGTTTGATATGAAAGCGCTCTGGCCAGACAAAAGGGAGGGCAGAGTGGGAGCTGCGCCTGGGGAGCCCAACTGGCCCACAATAAAAATTAATATTGGGAGCAACAATGGTGGAGGGCCATTACAATGTGCAGCACAAATTTTAATTAATTTCCATTTTGGGCCTCCCCCGAGGACCCCGGTGATAGTGACCCACGAGCGCGCCGCGATGTTGATTTGAATTGCAGCCACCTTTACTCCCAGCCAAACACGGAGACCAAAGCGGAGGTCAGCGTTGCATTATGAGTTGTCAAAGCCTGTTACCCCTCCAGCGTCGTTAGCGTTCGACTCATTCCAGCAACGCGTGGGGCTTCATTCACGTGCTGCGCCATCTGACTAAACATGAGTGTGTTCAGATTCTACTTGAAATTGACTTTTTATATCAGGCGGGTTTGGGGTACTAAAGCGATAAGCATCCTTGCTTAAGTGAATTGTTTAAGGTTATCTGCTATAAACCGTAATGCTGTGCCTGTTTAAATTGGAAATCACATTCAAAAGAAAAGAGAGATTGAATCATTTTTAATGCCTTTCTAGATAAATTTGTTCCCTTTTACATAATTTTTAGTTGATTTATAGGAATGATGATTGTAGGTTAAATGAAGAATAATTGCCCATTTTATTTCCACATTATCTTTATATTGTTGTAACAGACTGCTTTGTCTCATAGCTGGTGAATTCTATAGCCAAGACGTATGTTGGAACAAATGCTTATATGGCGGTAAGTAAACTTATGCAAAAATAACATTTAAAGCTAACATCTTTATGTACTTGGTAGTGTATAATTCTTAGATTAGCTCCACAGCTTTTTAGCCTAGCAGATTATAAATTACAAAGTCAATCTAGTCATGATCCGATTTTTAAATCTTTCTTAAAGACATTAAAGTTTGTGCCGGAGCCATCAGCTTATCTGATCTGTTGCCTTCACGGGTTGGTGCAGGTTAGAAATTGCTGAGTTTTGGGGTTGAATCCTACAGAAAAACTGCACCTCCAGGTGTGGTGGCTGTTCTTTTACGTTGTTTGTTTAATTAACGCCCGAGTGTACCAAAACGTCAGTCAATAAGATTGGTTGTTTTTCCCAGGAATATAAACACATTTGTCACCAAATCAAAGTTAGATGATTGATGTGACCAAGTTTTATTTATGGATCTGTGAACATGAGAGTTTAGCAGGCAGTTCTCTCTGGAACCCGTGCCACTGTGTTTTGTGTCCTAGTTGGATCCATGCCTAGCGTAAGGTAACTTACTTGGTTTCAAGGAAATGAATTCACTGAGACCAAGAAGTGGAGGCATAGGCTTGTTTCAGAGACCAGTGTGGACTTGGCTTTGAACTTCTGCCTCACCACGCTGGTAAGGCAAGTTGCTGGAGTCTGAAAAAAATGCCTACGTGAATTGTGCCCGCGGCCATTTCAAGAGCAGAAGGGAAAAACCAAGTAGACATCTTATCTAGTATCATTTTAGGGTGAAGGTTTTTCTTTTTAACATCTGAAGATTAATTCTTACAATGGGGGTGCTCTCGGTTTGTTTAGGTGGTACTTTTCACTCCTTGTAGCCGTTGAAGTTATATGACGTTCATATGGCTAGAACTGTGGATCTTATCCTCGATACTCTGTGTATATGCGTGTCGCATGATTCAGGTACTGTAACAGGTAGCAGGCTTGCTCAGACTGTCAGAGCAGCACAGAATGTTTTGCTTTCATTCATACACCAGAATAGCTCGTTTTTAATTTGTATTAGTTTTGAGGAGAGTTTTGCTCTAATTTTTCGAGCTAACGTGGAGGAAAATGGGTTAATGTCTGGAGTCCTCACCCCTGTTTTTATAGAGCTTAGTCATCCAGGCTCTACCAGCTCGCGTGAGATGGAGGGTCCACCTTGACAGCTGACAAAGCTGCAGCGTCAGTCCTTGAAGGAGCATGACTTAAAAAAATAAATAAATAAACTTTGCATGAAGCAGCTCCTCAACTACCCATCCTATTCTCAGCAGCTTTAAATTGCTCTAATAATTAAGTTGCATTATATCTGGATGCACAGATCCAGATTTCTGTCGTCTTTCCCAGGTGTACATGGGAGACATAGCTTTTTTTTTTTCCTGTTTGTTTATGGATGACTGTGATGCGTCCATCTGTTAATTGAAACTGTGAGTTTTAAAATTATGAAATGGCTCAGATTGGCAAAGCTAAAATTGCTTTGCTTCTTGGGTGAGTGAATTCCAGTCATCAGCTTTATAGACCAAGCTGTAAAAAGCGCAAGATACCTAGGAAGGGAGCGAGATAGCCCAGTAGTGAGAGTGAGGGCTGCACTTAGACCAGCAGGCTCTCCTTGCCACGTGCTCACCTGGCGGTGTGAGCAGAGACTGGGGGTGAGGGCACTCGATCCATGTTAACGCTAGTGCAAGTATTAATCCGCATTAATCTCTACCTTCTATCTGGCCTGTCCTTGTTTGTTTTTCTAAACCACAACTGGTTTTCTTTGAGCTGTGTCTGTTTTATAATTATTTGAGTTCTATGTGAAGATCTATGCTAAGAGTTAATGAAGGATAGCTCTTAATGCCAAATTCAGCTTCCTGCTTGGTGTGTGTGAACGAAGTTTTATTGGACTGCCACACCTATTTTATGAAGTGTGTGTGTGTGTGTGTGTGGCTGCTTTGCCACTGCTGTTGCAGAGTTGAATAGCTGTGACAGTCACAGCAGAGAGCAAAAGATGTTTACTCTCTGGCCCTGTGCAGGGAGGTCCGATGCCCCCTGGTCCGTGCCACTGAAAGCTGTACCTGAAGCTGAGTCCCACCAGCAGATCGGCCGGTGTTCACGGAGCACTTCCGGCTAGTCAGATACACTGTGTGTACCACGCCATTGCTCACGTGAGCCTTGGGTGAAACAGGAAGCATAACATCGTGTACCGCAGCGTGATGTGTGACATATGAAGACTTGATTCATAGGCCATGCAAAATTATCAGCTTAAACATCGGCCTGCTATAGACTTCTTGACTTTCTGAGTCCTGCCTTGGCAGGGCCAGGCGAGATGATCCCGTGGGCTGAACATTTCCTGCCCCGGTTTAGAGAGGAAGGTGTACAACATAGAGATTTGGTGATTGGGACTATGTGTGAGAAGGGCAGTTATAGAAGAGGGCAGCTTGGTTACTGTGGAAGGATGGACAAAGACTCAGAAATGGAAGGCAGTGTGGTAGAGAGGGGATGGGACAAATTATAAAGTGTGGGAATGTGTAACCAGGGGTCACCTCATTTCACCACGTTATTGGTGTCGACTTCTGTACAGAGGTCAAAAACATCGGCATAATAATGGCTACCAGCACCATGCACCAGTCACTCTTTTAAGTTCTTAAAACTTAAGAATTATATTAACTCTTTTTTAAAAAAGATTTATTTATTTGAAAGGCAGAGTTACAAAGAGAGGAAGAGACAGAAAGAGAAAGATCTTCTATCCACTAGTTCACTCCCCAAGTGGCTATAACAGCTAGCGCTGGGTCAGGCCGAAGCCAGGAGTCAGGAGCTTCTTCTGGGTCTCCCAGGAAGGGAGCTGAAGCCAAAGCACTTGGGTTACCCTCCGCTGCCTCCCAGGCCGTTAGCAGGGAGCTGGATCAGAAGTGGAGCAGCCAGGACACAAACCAGTGCCCACGTGGGATGCTGGCGCCCCAGATGGTGGCTTTACTAATTGGCTAATGTGCCTGAGGATTCAGCAGAAGATGGCCCAAGTGCTTGAGCCCTTACCGCCTTCATGGGAGACCCGGATGGAATTTTTGGCTCTTGGTTTCAGCCTGGCCCAGATCTGACTGTTGTGGCCGTTTGGGGACTGAAGCAGCAAATGGACAATCTCTGTCTCTCCCACTCTGTCCCTCTCTTTTTGTCACTCTGCTTTTCACATGACTAAATAAATCTTTTTTTTAAAAAATCACAACTGTATGAAATAGGTAATATTTTCTTCATTTTGCAGATAAAGAAATGGAGGTTAGTTAAGAGGCTTATACCCAAGTTCACACAGCTAGTAAGTGGGGAAGTCAGGATTCAACCCTAAGCGATTGGCCTATGAAAACTAAACTCCCAATTGCCATGCCTCTCGTTATGTCCAGGTTGTTTGTGTGGCTCTCCCGATCCAGAATTTGAACTTCACAGGGCAGAATTTCTTCTGCTCACTCTGTCCTGGGTCCCTTCACCCAGTGCTAAAGAACGCTTCCGTTCATGAAGGCTGCATTTGAAAAGTGGCTTGTTCACTGATTGCAAGCAGGACGCTTAGCTTTGCATATTTAGAATCTTAACTTGATAATAAGGTACGGAGGATTTGCAGGTACTCATCTGCAGACAGCAAGGCTGCCCCAGTGTAGAAAACAAAATAAATCAGAAGGAGATGGGCCTGTGTGTGTGAGCAGTCTCACTTTATCCTCCCATAGCCTGAAGTCTGAGTTGCAAGAAAAATGACAGGGAAAAGGCAAGGAGGCTCGTGCAGCCTCCTCAGTCATTTAGAAAGTTGAAAGGTTGTAGCAGCTTCAGCAGTGGCGCTTGTAGGAGACTGGGAGAGTCAGCTTGTTGCAGCCTCCTCTCTGAGAGCTGGCAAGGGACTGTCGTGGCCGAGGAAACACTGCTTTTTAGGGGTGGAGAATTAGGTTCAGTCTCATCCCAAGTGTGAAAGATTTTTTAAGTATATTTTAAAAGGATTATGAAAGGGGGCCAGCAGGCTTTGGGGCTTATGTTACTTTAAACCACTCCTCAAAAATTCTACTTACTGTGGTGGGACAGCCACGCCCCGTGTCACAGTGCCTGGGCTTGAGTCCTGGCTGCACTTGCAATTCCCGCTTCCTGATAATGCACACCCTGAGAGAGGTGCACAAGTACTTGGGACCCTGCCGGCCCCGTGGGAGATCCAGACAAGGCTCATGGCACCTGACTTCCACCTGGCCCAGCCCCCACTGTTGTGGACATTTGGGGAGTAACCAATGCATGGAAGATCCCTCGCTGTCTTGTCAGTCTCTGTCTCTTTCTATCTCTCTGCCTTTTGAGTAAATAAAAATTGATAAAAAAAAATAATTAAATGACAGAACTTTTAGTCTGTTTTTTAAGAAGCCCCTAAAACCTTAGCCAATTATTCAATTATTGAGGTTTGTTTCTGAGGGTACTTCAAAAAGTTTGTGGAAAAATTAAATTAAAAAGTAATGCGCGGAGCCAGTTCTGTCACATAGTGGGTTAAGTCTCCACTTGCAGTGCTGGCATCCCATATGGGCACTGGTTCGAGACCTGGTTGCTCCACTTCCGATCCAGCTCTCTGCTGTGGCCTGGGAAAGCAGTAGAAGATGGCCCAAGTGCTTGGGCCCCTGCCTCCACTTGGGAGACCCAGAAGAAGCTCCTGGCTCCTGGCTTTGGATTAGCAAAGTTCCAGCTGTTGCTGCCATCTGGGGAGTGAACCAGCAGATAGAAGATCTCTCTCTCTCTGCCTCTGCCTCTCTGTAACTCTGCCCTTCAAATAAATAAATAAATCTTGGAAAAAAAGGTAATGCACATTTTTCACAAACCTTTTGAAGACCCCTCATAAGTATATTTTTAAAAATCAAATGTAGAGGTTTGGCGTTGTTATAAATAATTGAAGTTTTAAAATTGAACAGAAAGCCTCACTCAAGGACGTATGCTTTGGGATGAGAAGGTCAGTCTCAGTGACTTTCCTTACGTCCTGGAAGTCTGCGTCTGCCCAGTCTCCAATCCTTGGCCGTTGCCTTTCCCTGGAATAGAGCAGACAGGTTATGCCATCCGCCACGCTGGCTGTGCTTTCGCGTTGGCAGTGGTGATGATGGAAGGATGCTGAGGTCTCCTGGGCGTTCCAGAGCCATGCGTGTTACGTGGGTTCTTCTCATCTTCACGCAGTCCCCTGAGGTGTACGAGTTATTACTGCTACCTTCATCGTACACACGAGAAACCCAGAGGTGGGACCTGGCCTAGCCCACGTCTCAGAACCTGCGGAGTGGCAACAGGGAATCAGGACACCGCTGCTCTTTCTGCTGATGGCGGCCTAGGTTATCTGGATCAGCTCTTTGAGAAGTGCAAGTTAACTCCTTTTTTTTTTTTTTTTTCCCCAAATAACCAGAAACGACAATGGGAGGATTTGGGGTGGAATGCCGCAGCAGAGAGGAAGGCAGTGTCCCAGGAGCACCAGAGCTGCATATTCCCGAGGGCGCACTCCTGGGGGAGGAGGGCGCAGAGGTCAAGCCCCAGGGCCCCTTTCCTGCTGACAGCCTAGGGAGCTCGGTTTTCCTGGAAGGACAAAGTGGATCTGGAGCTGCTTCACCAGCCCCAGTCGCAGGGAGCTGGAAAGTGGGAGAAGTTGAGGTGCAGGCCAGCTCAGCTCAGGTCGGCTCTCCGGGCCTGTGCGTGCCTGACCTGAGTTGGACCTGCAGCTCCAGAGCTAAGAAGCTGGCTTCAAACAGGCAGCCTCAGAGAATCTCACCACAATTAACTAGCAAGCACGCAAAGAACACTGGACACAGAAAAACGAAACAGCACGCAGAAGACTTAGCAGGAGCAATGGGCAGACGAAACACGCCCACGAGCCGAAGCTCGCAAAGTTTAAAAGCGACACAGTTGGTTTGCAAAAGGCCCAGAGGGGTGAGCACAGAGCCTGGTGGTAAAGACCCCTACATCCTGCGTCCTCCATCGGAGCACCTGGGCCCCGTGCCCAGCTCCGGCTCCTGACTCCAGCTTCCTGCTAATGCAGAGCCAGGGAGGCAGCCGTGAGGGCTCAGGCAGCTGGGCTCCTGCCACTCATGTGAGAGACCTGGTGTGGAAGACCTCTCTCTGGCTTCCAAATAAAATGAAAATAAATACATAGAAGAACTTTAAGCAAACAGGCCAGGGTCTTAGGTTTTATTTTTCAGTTAGTTTTTTTTTTTAATTACACGAAATGGTTATGCCTGACTGTAGGGTACAGGTGACATCTCCCTACATGTATGTAATGTGTAACGGGCAGATCAGGGCCAGTGTCATCCATTATCTCAAACAGTTGTCAGTTCTTTGTGTTGGGAACATTCAAACGGGCAGGGGTTTCTGCTCCTCCCTGAAATCTCAGCACAGAGGTGCTCCAGATGTGAGTCTGGTGACAGCCGTCGCACGAGGAAGGGAGCCACAGCTTCAGCTTTTTTCAGCTGCAAAGTGTCCATCACAGACCACCCGTCAGCAGTGTGGTACCTGCTGGTTGCTTTTGTTTTAAAGGAGAGAAGACAGGACGAGACAGCCCAAGGATGAGAGCAGTTTTGAATTGCGCAGCCTGAAGCCATGAAACCCAGGCTCCATACATTCACAATGTATCAGGGCCCGTCTCATGCCCAGGTCGGTTTCAGGGGCTTGGACACAGGTCCCCGCCCCTGTTTACTGTCCCCACCCCTGTTTACCGTGTGAATTCTTCCCCATGGACGTGTGACGCCCACTGCCTGATTCCGCTGAGCATTCTTGCTCGCAGTTTCGTGACAGCAATCTAGCTTTGTAAGCTTATTGGAGAGTAATCTCTCCAACAAGAGGTCATTGAGGATGTCCTCCTTAAGGAGTTCTCTGGATTGCCACCTGATGCCTGTGAACCTTACCACTCTTTTCTATGCCATTGACATTCATTTTTTCTATGCCTTGTTGTCACCTTGTGGTTTGCATTTGTTTCAGCCGTGCAGTGGACAGATATAATTAATGTCATTGTTGGTCTCACCAAAATATTTTGTATGTAGGTTCAGCCTTTATTTGTCTTTTTTTTCCTATATTCTGTGCAAAGCGCCATGTGCACGTATGAATGACAGCCAGCTGTTGGAATAAAGAAATGGGGAGGGGGAGAAAGGACAAGGAGTAGGCAACATTGGTTATTTCTTTAACATTTCTGGAGGATTCTGGGATCTTCACGTTTGCTTGAGGTTCTTGATGGACATTAACAGCAGTGACGTATGGGGAAGTTATATTAGAATACGCCAAAGAACTGGACATAAATCTTGGTAAAGGAAAAATGGATGTTCTTTGCACTAGTCTTAATCTTCCAGATTTTCCCGTAAGTCTGAAATTTCTTAAAAGTAAACATTTTTAAACACTATTTTGACAAGCCCTAATGTTCCAGATCCATCTGTCAGAGTGCAAGTAAGTATGGTAATATTGCAAAATGTTGTGTACTTTGTCACTTGCCAGCTCAGGCCACTGCACCTGGAGGGAGAGAACCCAGGCTCGAGCTCCAGTTTCTAAATTTAGCGGAGCATCTTGCCCAGATTCTTGCACCACTCGGAGCCTCTGTCTCCTGTAAAACAGAGGTGATAAATCTCCCCCATGGGGCATTTGCGACGACTCCATGAGGTTATGTGTGCCTCCGTGCAGTCCCCACGTAGAACATCAAGCACACACATGCGCGTACATACATGTAAGATGCCCTGCTGCCCCTCAGGTGGTGTGTGAGGGTTGGCGTCTTCCCCCCTTTGCTGGGCTCGTGGTCAGTGGATGTGTTTCTGGAGTGGCGTCCATCAGCTCACAGCCCCTTCTGTCTTCTTGCAGCCTGAAAGAATTTCAGGGGAGCAGTATGGGATCCACTCTGACGTCTGGAGCTTGGGGATCTCCTTCATGGAGGTATGTTGTCCTCACTGTTCATAAATAGACACTTCTGAGTGTGCCTGTGCTAAGGTGGTCAGTCAGGAGGAACATGAAGATTCCGATAGAATAAAGCAAACCCCTGGTGGGCTGTGTGTGTCCGCACCCAGAGGTGCCTGGGAAGCCCTTAATTTGATGTCCTCGTGTGACTTGTGAATGGACTCTGGGTAGTTCCTAGAGCTCCATGCGTTTTGCCCAGATCGCCAGTGGAAGGCTTACCCAGAGTGCTTGTTGAAAACCCAGGCCCCCTGGCCCCTCCAAGACCAGTGCATTCCAGATGTGTAAGAATCTGCAGTGTGGACCTGTTCCCTTGGTGATCCTTATATACATTAAACCTGGAGAGCTGTGTTCTGAAAGAGGCATTCCACACACATCCTGTGTGACGATAGCCTTGTTTGACATTCATGTGCGACTTCCAAAGGCAGTGGCTTCAAAAGTGATGGATGTATATGTTCTGTGTGTTTGTTTAGAAACAAGACAGTGACCTGGTTTCGATACGGTCCAAGCACCTGTGCATGCGGGATGGAGGGTGGTCTGACAGGACAGGGGTGGGGGACAGAGTGTGTGTGTTCAGCATGATTTTAATATCTTTACTCTGTGTAGCTGTATTTAGAATGGACTTTCAGTGCGCTAGATACAGCCCCACTAGAACGCCTCACCAAGGCTGTTACATAAATGACCACTGATTTAGAAGGAAATGCAGGACTTGCTCGAGAAGGAAACCTGGCTCAGTGTGAATTTCAGTGGTGTGGCACCCAGACACCACAGTGCTTCCAGAATTGTCTTTCGCTTACAGTGACTCAGATAACGGAAGACTTTTTAGAAAATAGAACGAGTTTGTTAAGTAAGATCATAGAGTTGCAATCACGACTTTACCACCTTTTCCTTTAGTCCAGTACTTTGCCTGTGATTTTTGTAATGCATGACTGCCGTTGTATTTGGAAGAAAATGTCACCAGGCTCGATGCACCTGCACCATAGAGAGAAAGCAAAAACGAATGTTCAATGTTTATTAAACCATATTCTTCTGCTTCTTCTTAAATGGGAATCTAAGAAGAACTATAATATTATGCACCAGCTGCGAGGTTAGCAATGATGGGAGACAGATCTCCGAGCTGAGTCTGCCAAGGCACCCTGAAGGGCTGCTGCTAGGAGCCAGCTTGAGGCGAGACTCGGGCTTTTGACTTGCGGGACTCAGGCCTTGCTGGTGCATACTTTCCCTTTACAGATTCCAAATTGTTGGTGGTGTTTGGATTTTAGAGGTGACTAGACAGCCCAGGACAACTGTGAGGTTAGCGGGCAGAGAAACAGGAATCCCAGGCTGGGAATGGGCGTCCTGAGTGCAGGCCCAGCTTTGCTGCTGGTTGCCCAGGCGGCCCTCACTGGGAGGTGCAAAACCACGAGCCCCGAGTCCCTTCCCACGCGAGCACCTTGTGACTGTGCTGCTACCTCCCCTTCCCTTCCACGAAGCGGTCTGTAGTCACATAGCTGAGACGGTGCTGTGCCCTGGAAGGCAGCAGTACACAGGCATGGCGACTCCATGAGAGAGCATGCTAATAGCCTGGAGACTCAGAGCACACAGAAGGGCTCCCCCTTCGTCCTTCCACACTCATTTACAGTTTCATGCATTGAGCTCCTCTTTGCCTGCTGTGTGGGCCGTGGGGATGGTGTAACCAGAGGACACCCATGTCTTGGCCTTATGAGTTAGGTTTGGTTGAGGCAAGAGGGGAAACAAAGGGATAAACAAACGGATACCTGGATGTGTAACTTGTCAGGTGGTGAAATTCTGCCTGATGAAAGACTGAGCAGAGACTTGAGTGCTGTGAAAAAGGGAGCCCCCGGCAACAGCAGGTCCAGGGCACTAAGATGTACTGTGATGGGTATGTGTCAGAAAAAGCAGAGAGGCCAGGGTGACCAGAGTGGAGTTTGCAAGGGACAAGTGGGAAAAAATAAATTCATGGAGGTAGCCAGGGCCAGAGCATGTACCGCCTTGTAGGCTACACTAAGGATTCCCAGTGTCACTCAGAGGAAATGACCTGACGTTTTCCAAGGATCACCGAGTGCTCTCTGGAGCACTGAGACAGAGGGGTAGGCGTGAAAGCAAAGATTAAGGTAGGTAGGAGATTCGGCAGATGCCCAGTAAATAGTGTAGCACATGAATATTTATGTATGTTGCATGTTGGAATACATGTCTTCCAGTATCTTGCTGGGTACTGAGGATGCAAAGATTAATAAAGAAATTCTGTGTGGCATTAGAGAGTGAGATTGCCACGGATATATTTGGGATTTGTTGATAATGTTCATTTTTTTAAAAGATTTATTCATTTATTTGAAAGGCAGAGATACAGAGAGGGAAAGGCAGAGGGGGTGAGAGAGAGAGAGAGAAATCTTCCATGCTGGTTCACTACTCAAATGGCTGGGCCAGACTGAAGCCAGGAGCCAGGAGCTTCATGTGGGTCTCCCATATGGGTGCAGGGGCACAAGCACTTGGGCCATCCTCCGCTGCTTGCCCAGGAGCATTAGCAGCGAGCTGAATCAGAAGAGGAGCAGCCAGGACTAGGACCAGCACCCATGTGGGATGCAGGTGCTGCATGGCGGCTTAACCCGCTACGCCACAGCACTGGCCCTGATCATGTTCATTTATCCTGGAAGAGAACCTGAATAGACTCCAGAAGACTGAAGAAAGTAGACTCATTGAATTTGTAAGATTAAGAAGGATTAGGCTGGGACTAGGTTGGAGCTCCTCTGTGTCCGTGACACTGAACAAAAAGCCTTCAAAAAGAGCTGTGAGCTTGCAGCCTCTGTGCGCACCCCAACACACACACACCTAGAACTCAATGACCCATCAGACACACAAGTGACAACATGCAACCAACAGATTGGTAGAACAGAAAGTCCCTGGAGAATGGAGTAAGGCCCTGGACATGTGTTATGTGCTGAATTTATTTGAGGTCTAAGATAAAGAAAACCATGTGATAGAGCCGTGGGGTGGGTGTGGAAGGTTTCGAGTCCACAGATGCGACGTTGTGGGGGATTCAGCACTGAAGACCACAAGAGAACACCGAGGGTTTGGTTGTGGTTTCTTGCTTTGTTTTTGTTACCTGGAGGGACTGGGAACTTAGTCCAAAAGAAGTGTTTGGAGGCCAGGATTCTTTTTCGGTTATCACAGTGTGCTGGGCGGAGAGTGGTAAAGCTTCTTTAAGATCACCCTAGCTGGAGAAGCATCTTCAAGTCGGAGGTGCAGACTGCATTCCAAGAGTGAGCACCCTGCAAGTGTTGCTCCTCTTCTCTGCTCGTCGTTAAGAGCAAGGTTCCCTCGCCAGTGCAGACGCTGAGGTCTCGAGCCCTCGGCTCATGCAGTGACTCCCCGTGGAGCACGTCCCAGGCTGAGCCCTGCGAGGGGCATCCCAAGCTGTCACATTGGGAAGGAGAGCCCTGAAGCCCAGGGAGTGAGTCTGAGAAGCTCAGAACAGAGCTGGCCTTGGAGCAGGACTTCGCCTGGAGGGAGGTGGCCACTCAGAGGAGGAGGGGGAAAGATAGTGGATCTCTCCCGCCGCCGCTCCCCTGCAGCTCTGAGGTGCACCCAGGAAGCCCCTACAGAGAGAATCAGCATCAGAGCGGGCAGGGTCTTCCCCAGGACAGTCTTGGTACCTGTTTGTGTGCGCGCCTTGCTCCGGGTGTCGTGGGCTGACCTTTTCCCATGGAGTGCCTGTGACGAAGGGCGCTGTGGGAAAATGCAGGAGGCGGAGAAGGAATCAGAGAGACCGAAGCTGGGTGCTGGAGTTCTCTCTCCCCTCCGCCTCTCCCCTAGCCGCTCCTTGCCCAGCTCCATAATCCTCTTACCAAATTCTATGGTTTTATTTCATCCTTAAATGAAAGGGCAGAGGGTACCTAAAAGCTTTTAGCGTACTTCTTCATTTTTTAAGGTTTATTTATTTATTTATTTGGAAGGCAGAATGAAAGAGAAAGAGGCAGAGACAAGAAAGAGAGAGATCTTCCATTTTGTTCACTCTCTAAGTGTCTGCAACAGCCAGGGCTGGGCCAGACCAAAGCCAGGAGCCAGGAGCTCCATTCTGGTCTCCCACCTGGGTGGCAGGAGCCCAGTGCTTGGGCCATCTTCTGCTGCCTTGCAAGGTACATTAGGAGAGCCATCAAGGATTCAGAACCATCCTGCAGATACAGGATGCCAGTGTCGCAAGCTGCGGCTTAACTCAGTACACCACAGTGCCGGCCTGCCATTTCTCCATTGCATAGGGAGTTCGGTGTTTGTTTCTCCTCCCAGAGAATGGCTGGAGGAAGTTCCACTCTTCTTTTTTCCTGATGAGTTAATAACTTCATTCATGTATGTGGGAACTTCAGACAATTTGTGGAAAATGGAATGAATAGATAAGTTTATTTGGTGCAAAACCTTGAAATTCATGCGTATGTAGGATCTTTGAAAAGTCCATGAGGGGCCAGTGCTGTGGTGTAGTGGGATGCTGCAGTGCCCAGCATCCCATATGGACACCAGTTCAAGTCCCAGCTGCTCCAGCTCCTATCCAGCTCTCTGCTCTGGCCTGGGAAAGCAGTAGAAGATGGCACAAGTCCTTGGGCCCCTGCCACCCTTCGTGGGAGACCCAGAAGAAGCTCCTGGCTCCTGGATTCAGATCAGCGCAGCTCTGGCTGTTGCGGCCATCTGGGGAGTGAACCAGCAAATGGAAGACCTCTCTCTCTCTCTCTCTCTCTCTGCCTCTCTGTAATTCTGACTTTCAAATAAATAAATAAATCTTTAAAAAATTAATTAAAGAAAGTTCATTAAGGTGTATGTTACAAAACAATTGAGCATGGGTTTCAGTTTTTTGTTTTTTTTTTTTTAAGTAAGATCAACTTTTCGATCTATTTTCCACAAGCCTTCGCAGTGCCCTCATGCATGGGTCATTCCAGCCCCACGAACACCTGTAAGAGGGACATAGCGGTTGTTCCTGCAAAAACTGGACTCTA